TTTTTTGGAGGTGCTAGGGTGTGAACCCAGAGCCTTTGCACTGAGTTACATCCCCCGCCTTTTTTCCAACTTTAAATTTTGAGCTAGGTTCCTCCCAGGTCACCAGGTCACACCAGCTACTTAGCCCCTGCTGGGAGACCCTGTTCCTGATGGGCCAGGGACTGGCACTGGTTCATGGACAACATGTCGGGGACTCATGAGTTTCAGGTGTGTGCCACAAGCCCAGCTAAAATAAAGCTTTGTTGGTTTTCTGGATAGAAGTTGCCCCGGGCACACTGGACCCCCATTCTTTTCTTATGCACCTCCATCTAAAATACTCCAGCTAGGAAGCTTAAGCTGGCCTTCATGTGTCACCTGTGACATCCTCAGCCTCCTCAGAACTTAGCTGCCAGTTACCCCCACAGTCTCTGTCTTCGTCTCTCTTTTAGTCTTCTGACGGTCACACACACACCCTCCCCCCTTCTCTGTGCCCATGTCCAGTTCGTCCATCCAGGCGGCCTAGCACAACGTTCCCCTTCACACTTTTGCCTTAATCCTTGCACCTCCTCTTGGCCCCTCCTGACCTCCCTGCCTGAGGCAGCCTCTCCAGTCAGAGGCCGGCAGCTGGCTCTGTTCCTTCGCAAAGCTCAGCTTCCCCATGGAGAGTTTTGGCAGGCTTTGACTTCATCTTCCATATCAACCTCGTGACCGCAGATGGAGGACCCCACCTTGGCTGGTACCTGGAGCTCACTCCCTCCTATCTCCATGTTTAGGGAGACCTGAGCAAAAATGTCTGTGTCCAAGGTCTGTGTCCCAGCAGATGCATGGCAGAGCCCATGTCTGGGCTACAGAGTGCAGCGCCCAGGCAGGGAATGCCTGCTGCGCTTCCTCCTTGGCTCACCCCTCAGGCCCCAGACTTCCTCTCCCGTTCACAGACAGCAGATGAACACGGTCCTCAGGCTGTTACCCCACAGGGCAGCAGGCGCGCCCCAGCCCTCCCGACAGTCTGACAAGCCGTGTTTGTACCAAGCTCTGAGATAATGCTGACACTAAGGTCCAGAGAACACACCGAAACCTGAGGGGTGAGAGTGACAGTGCCACATGCTCGAGGACAGGAGGGGCGGCCCCCTTCGCACTCTGAAGACAATTACTGCGTGTATCCTCGCACTGGGAATGGGGGTGCTTCTGGAAAGAGGAAGGGGATGAGGTAGCAACAGGAAGGAAGACAGCAGGAGCAGAGGACAGGAGGCCACCAAGTCTACCCACACCAGCAGAAAGAGAGAAAGCACTAGAAGGGGCAGCCAGAGAGTGGACAGGCTCTCAGAGGGCGGCCGGCTGCTTAGCCTCCATGACAGGAGCCTGGGGACCGATTAATGAGAGTGCTCTCACTCCTAGGGGACCCAGAAGTGGCAGAGTGAAGAGTCGACAACAGCCCTGAGCCTGGCACAGAAGGCAACTTGGGTGCTGGGACTGGGGCGGGGGAGCTTTGTGGGAACAGCAGGAACGTGGCTGCTCCACAACTCAAGGACAGATCTGTGTCCAGACCACGCTGCTCCAAAAGCCCCTGTATGGCAAATGTTTATTTTAATTCTTCGTTCCTTGAAGTTTGTTAGGAAAATTCCTTTGAAAAGTCCTGCCCTCTCCAGATTAGAGCTCTGTGAATAATATATACACAGAAGAAAGCAGGAGAAACACTTTCAACGTTAGCAGGACTTGTTTTAGTGAAGCGGCCAAGAATTATTTCTCTTTTCTCTGGTTGCCAAATTCTTGTCCCATGGTTAAATTATTTTTATAACAAAAATAATTTTTAAATAGGAAAAAAAACCCAAGCTACATGGGCTGCAACACAAAGTAGGGATAGAAGCCTCTGCTTTAGGTAGAATGAGAGAGACAGGAATGGTAGGGGTCTGCGCAAGCATAGGGAGGGGGTATAGTGAGAAGATGAGCCCAGGGGTGGGGTCCAGCACCTCCCAGCTGTCCCTGTGGTCCCAGTGCCTCCTGGAGCCTCAGCCCAGGGCAGCACTTATTTTTCCAGTCTTGGCTGGGCTGGAGATTTCAGCGGCATGGCCACCTCCCATTGCCTTAGGAGACAGTGCAGGAAAACACCACCTGGGGTGTCTATTGGATGATCTGGACCCCAGGAACAGCAATATCCCAAAGGAAGCCCAATCTGCCTAAAGGGCGGCCGCCACGCCACAGGCCTTGTCCTCACTGTGCCCACCCCCAAATATTTTAAGAGCAAACTTGACAGAAGCAAAGAAAAAACGCTTTGTGGTACACATGATGTGTCGCGGGGCAGGTTCACAGGCTCAGAATCTCTGTAACGGTCTCAACAGCTTGGCCCAAACCAAAACGGATGACGCTGAGCAGAACCAAAGGCAAAGCCTACATTTGGCCTAAAAAGTGAGTACATTTGAATGTAGCCTCCTCCTTCCCTCCCTCCCTCTTTCTTTCCTTATCTTTTTTTTCTAAAGTTTTTGCCCTGGGCTGACTTGATTTGTTTTTATAATAAAAAAGATACTTTTCTTTCTTTTTTTTTTCTTTGTATTTTTTAGGGAAAGGTCTACAGGGTGTTCCAACTAGATCAGCTCATAGTGATCCACCTGTTTACAGCTTCCCAAGAGCTGGGATTACAGGGGCACGCCACCATGCCCTAGGGATCGAACTCCCGGCCGCTGTACCTGCTTGCAGGTGCTTTAATCCACTGAGCTATTTGACCAGCCCTTTAAAAAGATACTTTTCAAAAGAAGGTAAGATCTGCTGGCACATGCCTGTAACCTTAGCAACTCAAGAGGCTGAGGCAGGAAGATCACAAATTCAAGGCCATCGTAAGCAGTGTAGTGAGACCCTATCTCAAAACAGAAAAATAAGCCAGGAATGGTGGGAGAATCATCGAGTTCAAGGCCAGCCTGGCTGCAGTCAGTTCAAGGCCTGCATGAACTGTCAAAACCAGACTGTCCCAAAAAACAATAAATATATATATATATTTTTAAAGGCTACAGATGTAAAGCACTCCTGAATTTAGTCCCTGTACTGTAACTATAACTCCAGGCAAAGTTTCTGCAGCCAGTTTTCTTTTCTTTTTTTTGTACCAGGAATCAAACTCAGGGCCTCATGCTTTCCCGGCAGGTGCTGCACCCGAGCTATGCCCAGTCCCTTTGTGAGCAGTTGTGGTGACCACAGTTTGTACATTGCCAACTCTGTGAAATGAGAGTGTTCTAGAGTTGCTAGCGGCCCCTCTTTGACCCCCATTTTGAAGGGTGTGGGCTCAAAGCCAAAGGCACAGGAGGAAGGAAGCCAGGTCACAGAGTACTAGCGACAGGCGTGGAGAAACCTGCAGCTGTGCCCAGAGACAAGGGTGATGTGGCCCAGGCAGCAGAACGTGCACCCTCCCCGGTGTTGCCTGCTCCACCCACTCAGAGCTCGGTGCCCTGTTCAGCCTCACCGTGGGGATAAACTGAATCTCATAGGCATCGACAGGGCCTGGAGCTCGGGTCCACTCTGTGCGCACCGTGGTCTCCTCCAGGAGGTGCATCCTCATGCCCTCAATGGCTGGCACTTCTGCCCAGGAGAAGGGGTGGGAGAAGGTATTATTAGCCTGAGGCTGCCCCTCCTCTCCCACACCGCCACCAGGTCCCTCGCTCAGGGCAGGCAAGGGGCACAGCAGATGCCCACTGCTCTGCACAGGCTGGAAAGGCCACAGAGGCCTGAACAGGGTTGCGCCTCGCCTGCCTTCCCATCCCAAGAGCTCGGAGTCTCCTAAAGAGGATTAAGGCCCCGGCCTGAACCCCCAGGTTCCAAGCCCAGTACTGCCTGCTGGTCCAGGCCTGGTGGACAGGGACCCCTTCCCCTGACACAGGCTCAGCCTCCACTCCTGCGCCCCGGGCCCCTCTCCCCAGGGTCCTCCCGTAGCTTCTGTTCTCTGCACCCCGGTCCCAGTCGCTCACCTTCCCCGCAGTCCTCCCCGGCATAGCCATCTTGGCAGATACAGCTGCCCTGGCGACACTCTCCTCTGCCTCGACAGTCGCCGGGACAGGTCTGGATGGCACAGTCGGGGCCGCGGAAGCCTTCGACGCACACGCAGCGGCCGGCACGGCACAGCTCGCGGGGCCCGCAGCCCCCGGGACAGGGGCTGGCGGGAAGCTCCTCCTGCCCGCAGTCCTCTCCGCCGTATCCGGCGTGGCACACGCAGCGCCCGTCCTCGCAGCGGCCGCGCCGGTGGCAGTCGAAGGGGCAGCGCCTCACGCCGCAGTCCTCGCCCGCGAAGCCTTCGTCGCACACGCACACGCCGCCCTCGCAGCGCCCGCGCCCGCGACAGTCCCCGGGGCACCGACGG